GCCATTTTCACGATAGTGATTCTTCCCATCCATGAACATGGAATGTTCTTTCATTTGTTTGTGTCCTCTTTTATTTTGTTGAGCAGTGGTTTGTAGTTCTCCTTGAGGAGGTCCTTCACATCCCTTGTAAGTTGGATTCCTAGGTATTTTATTCTCTTTGTAGTAATTGTGAATAGGAATTCACTCATGATTTAGCTCTCTGTCTATTATTGGTGTATACGAATGCTTGTGATTTTTGCACACTGATTTTGTTTCCTGAGACTTTGCTGAAGTTGCTTATTAGCTTAAGGAAATTTTGGGCTGAGACGATGGGTTTTCTAAATATACAATCCTATCATCTGCAAACAGAGACAATTTGACTTCCTCTTTTCCTAATTGAATACCCTTCATTTCTTTCTCTTGCCTGATTGCCCTGGCCAGAACTTCCAACACTATATTGAATAGGGGTTAATAGCTAAGATTAGTTTTATGTGTTACATGTTATTCACACTTTTGTAAAATTGATTTTTGATAAGGTAAAAATGGAGTTGTCAGTTTAGAGCAATAGTACTTGAACATTTTTCCTTACGTTTAGTCTGGATTTTAAGTTAGAAAGAATTTCTCATTAGTCCTCTGACTTTTTAATCTAGGGTCAGGCAAGATCAGTTTCTCAAGTTGTACAGTTTCTTTAGAAAATTTGGAACAAATCAAGATATTTTCTGATTGAAATTTTAAAGAATTGCAGTCTTTGTTCTCTAGTGGTGAAGTGAAGTGATAGGGTTGCAAGATTTATTTGTGTTTATTCCAAAAAGTATTTCAGTCAGGGTAAGTAGGACTACTTTGTCACCTTTTAAAAAAATGTTGATATAAAAGTGGATGAATGTATGTTCTTGATAAACATTTAATAAAATAAATAGATCATCTTTTAAAAAATTTTGGCAAGAAACTGCTGTGTTGAAAACTAATGATAAAATGTTTTTCTTCAGGAATGTTTCCTAAAACTGTAATTGCTTTAAGTTAGCTGCTGAAATGGTTTCCTAATAACGCTTTGTTATTCTGTTTTATTTCAACAATACATATGTAGTAATGTTGTTCCTATTCGGATGAGAGACAAACCCATGAAACAATTTTTAAAATCAACAATTGCTTTTGATATATCCCTTTGATTAGTAAAATAAAGCTATTGGTACTTTCACCCAAGTTTATTATGTTTTTAAAATAAGATTTGTGTCTTTTTAAGGAAATCATATAGGCTGAAATGATCTAAATAAAAATCAGATTATTGTATCAGGTCTATTTCAGGGAATGTAGTTAAATTCAAGTATAGGGTCAACTAAGTTTTTGTCTCTTAAATGATTAGTAAAATTTGTTACGTGATAAGGGAAGTATGTATTTGGTATTGTGTGCTTTAGTATTTGTTACTTTTTAACCTAGTGATTGAGTTACAGCTTTCTTTTCAATGCATGACATCACTTTCCCATGATGTAAGATAGTTGATACATTTTCCAGTGATTCTTGAGTGTTGGAGTATGAAGAAATAAAGGATAAAATATTCTTTTCTGTGTTTTCCTGTTTTGTTACTACCTGGTCATGCTCCTAGGCCACTTGTCCATCAGTACTGTAGAGTTAGCCTGTTGACATTCACATGTCAGGTATTGAGTGCGTAGCCAAGGGATTTTCATAGAATGCCTTTTTTGTCCTTACGTTTTTCTGAGATATTTTACCCAAACCAAGGTTTTCTTTAGCAGGGATGGTGATCACTTTTATTTTACTGATTTTTTTTGTTGTTGTTGGAGAATGGTGTAAAGGTGGGAAATTTTGAGAGAGAGGAAATAGAATGGTAGTGAGTTGAGGGCAGGAAAATACATCTGCAACCTTTATTGGTTTTTAAGTGAATATCTTGATAGGGAAGATATAATGGAATTGTCAAAAATTGTTAATGTGTTTGACAAAGTGTGACTGCCTGTACGATCTTTTTGTTAACATTTTGACATGAACAATTGTCCTTTTATTGGTGCTATTAATGCTATTTTGGAATATCATGGGCATCTAAAGGCCATAGTTTAGCAGTGTCCATAAAGCATCAAATACCATTATATTATCTAGTAACCCTAACAGCAATATTTCAGAATCCCTGCCTGTTTAAATGGGCTATCTGTGAATGTACTGGCTCAGGGATGCATGCATGACCCACATCACCTATAAATTTGATTGGAAGCTAACAGTACTGGCGTAGCCTGATAGATAGCAGATTAGAGCCCTGATTAACCATGTGATTCAAATACTGGGAATATATTGTCTAAGCAAGATTCATCAGATGCAATCAGAATTTCAAGTGGTCAGATGAAATTCAAATGTGTGTTGTGGTTTTTCCTCCCCTATTGCTTTTCCTCCTAGGTTGCCTTTTTTCCCTTCTTTCCCCAAAGCTGAAAAATACTTCTTTGATGAATCTGCTCCTTACCCTAAAGCTGTCTGTCTGTTATTCATCAGAAAGCAGGTCGCAGTTCAGTGAGCAGAAGAAAAGATTTTAATAGAAGCTGTGCCAAGGGCTGTAATGCATCATTTTAGGGCCCTAATTACATTACAATGACAAATATCAATGGTGACAACAGCAATAACCTACATCCTTTAATGGCTGTGCTGGAAAAGGAGTTTGGGCCCCACGCCATTATATTAGACTCAGTTTCAAAACATAGGCCATTAGAAGTGTGTGTCCACAGTGTTACTGGCTGATCGCTGAAGCCCAGTGGAAAGGCCTGTAAATAAATGATGCTTCCCTAAAGCTGGGTCCTATGGGACAAAAGAGGCAAAATTAGATGACCATGGGAGCAGCAGTGTTTCCGAGGCAACTTTAGCTTTCAAAGTGAAGAATGACCTGCTTAATTTTATGAAATCACACACACATCCCACCCCCCAACTGCCAATTAGCCTGACCATGAAAATCCATTGGCATGACAACTTAAAGAAATTAAGAAGTCTTTTAAACAAAAGGAGACCTTTAAGGAAAGTCTGGAAGGTTTCTACCCTCCCGTTTCTGTTGTGTGTGTGTTAACCTACGTGATTAGTAAAAAGACTCGTCTCCTTTTTACATTTATTTTTAAGAAAATGTAGAATTAAAAAAAAAAAAAAAGTTGCTCAGACTTAATACAGCCTAGGCCCAAAATTTTATTTCACCAGATGAATAAGTTTCCTTAGAGTCGTTTTTATTGTCTAGATTATGTAGGCAAACTAAAGAACTCAGTTTTCGTATGTGCCCACACATTTTTCAGCCCTCCTAGCAAGGGACTATTTTATTTATGTAAACAACATAATGAAGAAAATATGCTTGGCAGATGGTTCTAAGCATTAGAATCATCAGTTTGGTCTGCCCCAAAGTGTCTCATTATCTTTTATTCTCTCCCCCTCCACCTCTCCCTGCAAAAAGCTTAACAACCAAATGCCTTTGAGACGCAGTACTTTCAGCCTGGTGAATGCTACTTTATTTTCTTAGCTCACCCTGGAATTTCACCCCATAACCACTGTGGTATGTTCGTCCAGGTGGAGAGTGGTTTGGTGATTCCCATTGCAGCTCTTCATGGTGGCTTAAGCATGCTTAAAGGATGGCTAAATGCTCCATGGGGCCAGTGCAGTAAATTAAATCAGGTCAGCACAGTTGGGTCCTTATTCACTGCTGCTTATTGGTGCTGGGTTTTTGTCCATCTTGTTAGGAATGCAGGCTGGAATGGAAAGCTTAGGTTTGAAACTTCATGGTGAATTTGTGTTTTCTTTTGGCTGGCAAAGTTTTTAAGGTGCTGGCATTTAAAAGATTGCATAGCTACACAGTTAGAAGGGTTGCTGATGAAAGAAGGAAGCCTAGATTGCACAAGTAGAGTGTCACTGTCATTCTGGTAATGACTTGGCAAGAAAAGGCATTTTGGGCCTCTCATAAAATGAGGAACTGACCCTGGATGGAATTTAAGAATGTCTTAGGGATAGTAATTGCTTTACATTTTCTGTCTTTCAATTCTTCTTAGCTGTCTTTCCTCCATTCCATCATTAAAATATAAACTATTTTGTATGTATGTGTATTAAAAAAAACTATGTATTTATACATCACAAAATATACAAAGCACCATCTGAAAATACAAATTAAGATAAACATTGGTAAAGCTGTGGGCAACTTTTTAAAGAAAACAGGTATTGGGTTTTGTTTTGTTTTGTTTTGTTTTTCTTAACTTACTATAGCATCTTATTGGTTTAAAATGTCTGTACTTCCAAAAATTATTAGAGAATAGACTGTTCTCTGACATTGTTGGGACTTTTGCGTATCCACAGAAAAAAAAAAAGTTCCCAAGGATAGTTTCCAGATACATACAGATTGCTGTCTGCTAAGTGTAATAAGATTTTAGCATATCTCAACCTCTGTACACTGAAAACCCTGGTAGGACACATGTGGAAATTTTTATGGTTGAAGAAAACATCTCGTTCTCCAAGAATTTATAAGAATCTGAATTAACCAACTTTTTTGGGTTGGTTGGGTGCTGCTGTTTCAGAAGTTCAGGGTCTTGAGTTTAAAATCACAGCACCAGTGTTTTTAAAGCAAAGGTCACAAGTATAGAAATCCAATGAGTTGCTAATTGAAGGAGTTGAGATGTAGGAAAGAATGGATCTTTACTTATCTAAATTCTTAAGACTTAGAAGACTGCAGGTTTTATGGAAAATGTTAGTATGAGCAAGGGTCCTGGTGAAGGCTGTTGAAAACTGATTTCCAGTCATGGAAATTAAATTCCATTTTATATTGCCCTGATGCTTGAAGGTTAACTTGTTAAGATGAATGCTGGTTAATAAATTGTGCTGTTAATGTGGCACTGTTGTCATTGCTTCCTTTTAATGGGCTTGCTGATGAGATGGTTTTCCTCTTCCTTAGGAAATACGCCAGCCAAATTATAAAGTATGTTTTAATATCATCCTGTTAATATTTCGGGAATCTGTAACCAGCTGACTGTTCTCTTTATTGCTTTCCTTTCCCTTATTTTTTGCAGGCAGAGATTGTCAAGAGGCTGAATGCTATCTGTGCACAAGTCATTCCTTTCCTGTCCCAAGAGGTAAGGTAGTTGATTTTAGGCACTGGACTAGAAGTTGCCATTTTAGTGGTTTTGTAGAAAAGGGATTGTAGAACTGACTCTCTGGCCTTGCCAGTCTCTTGGTGTTTGTATTTTATTTTCATTTCTAAGAAACAGTGTTCTCACTCCAACTTGTATACCTTAATAACTTTCTGTGGAATATGATTTAAATGTGTGTATGTAATGGAATATTTTCTAGTTGGGCTAAGCAAAATTCAGTCATTAAAATATTTTGCTATCTTTGTAGTGTTGCTCAGAATTATGCTTGTTTGTCATAATGGTACCTAATAGGGTAGACTGAAAAATTGCCAGGAAAACAGGAGCTTACTCTGTACTATTGTCATTGGGCATTAAGAATTGGCAGAAGACATATCAAATGGAAAGACTTTATGTAGTAAACAAACTAATGAAGCTTTTGGCTAGCTACTTTTAAACATTTACTTCTTGTTACCTGATTAAGTCTTTATATTATTGTGCTTTTGGGAAAAGATCTGCAAGATGAACTCAATGAACTCATTTCTCTGAGTGCCACTTTTCTCAAAATTAGGCTTTGGTGATGGTAGGCTTAGCACATTGCTAAGGCCCGGCATGCGGCTCACTAGTTTTCTTGCTCTCCTCCGGGGAAGTGCATGCTATCAGCAAACAGGCACAGGTTGAAATAAAGTGATGCATTTCTAGTGCTTGTTGGCTTCCTTGTGGCTTTTTTTTTTCCTCTCCCTGCTTGCTTTTGGTAGTTACAAAGTTGAAGTGAGAATACTGGAAAAAGATAATTTTTTGCGTCTGGATTACTGAATGCCTTCATTTGCTCAGGTAAGATCCACTTTAAGAAGGAAGGAGCTAATGAAATAGCTGCATGTCTTTAGCCGCAATACTTTGTGCCTTGGGCTGAGAAGGCACAGAGGCACTTTTCTTCCTACCTTTCAGTTGTTCTGTAAGTGTTGGGTCACTGCTTTTCAGGAGAGAGGTTCATTCACCTGCCTGCCAGTGGGCCTGTGCCGATGTTGTGTGGCCAGTATTTGAGCATGCACGTGTATTACAGATATACAGGTTGCTATATATGATTTTTTTCCTTGGTCTGAACTGGGTTAGACTTGAGTAACTCTGGGTACCCTTCATAGGTATATACTGGGGAGGGGCACTCCCATTCACAAGTCTTGTTGACACTCTAAATTCACATGCTCTTTTGGGTCTTGATAAACAAAGGATATGTTGTCTTTTCTCCTCCTTTAGCTGTGACCACAAAACCTACCACCAGTCGTATCCCCATTTGCCTGTTTTTACTTAAGATTTGCTTATGACTAGATTAGATGGCTTGGTGAATGAGAGTCAAGGGGTGCATTTGCATTTCTTTTGGAAGCCTGACTGCTCCCTGCCTGATCCAGACTAGTGTGTATTTTTTACTTTAAGCAGCTCTGCTTTATGGGGATGGAGAATGGGAAGAATGTGTGACCCACAGAGCTGTAATCAGGCTAGGGTGTCATATTCTAAGGTGACAGGGAAAAGTTGGAATTATCGCTGGGGTGGTATTAGACTTTGGGCCTCTGTAGGCACAGACCCCTGAGTATGATCACTGGTACGGCTTTGGTCTCATCACATTTCTGCAGGATCTGTGGGTTGTGTTCAGAAGTGGAAGGTTGTCTTAGGGCTGTCGATGAAGCTGATTTGACAGTGAGTTGTTTTCCCACATGAATTATGTTGTTTGTGTGAGCAGGCCCAGTGGGAACAGAATGTATAATGGTAGTGGTGCTGAGCAAGACTGGACTGAAATTAATTGTCTTAGGGAGTTATACCTGTAGATGAAAGCCGTGGGGAGATACTACAACTCATTTGCTCTAGTCTGGGAAGAAAGGTGTCATACTTAACTGTTGTCATACCACTGAACTATTTATTTCCCAAATACTTTGACATTTCTTGGTTGAAATCCTTGACTCATGATAATGATTTATGCCGAGCTTGTCCAACCCCAGGGCCCGTGGGCCACATGTGGCCCAGGATAGCTTTGAATGTGGCCCAACACAAATTTGTAAACTTTCTTAAAACATTATGAGATTTTTCTTTGCAATTTTTTTTAAGCTCATCAGTTATCGTTGGTGTACTTTATGTGTAGCCCACATAAAATGGGATGTGTGTGTGATTTCTTCTTCCAGTGGGGCCCAGGGAATCCGAAAGATTGGACACCCTTGATCTATGCCATGATTTTCTAAATGCCAGTTCTGCGTATATATTTTCTTTTGCTTACTTTAGATTTAATTTGCTCATCTTTTTCTAGTTTCCTAAGGTATGTATATATCTTTTATTGTGTGAGCACAAACATGTTTGTTTCCTTCAAATCAGGGCATCTCTGATGTTTTTTTATCTGAACATCGTCCACCTTGTTTCTTCTTCTGTGCGTTCTGTGAGCATTGGACTCTTTGCTTCTGCCCTGAAGCCAGATGGACCATAATCTGGAGGGAGGGGAGGAGCAGGTTATTAGAGGAAGATGAATTCTATTTCCTGTCTCTTCAGAGGCATGGAAAATCACTCTTGCATGGCTGTGAGCATCACTCTGTGCCAGGACTGAAGGCTCTTAATCTGATCTTTTAACACCGGCTCTCTGTGTGACAGTCTCGCTGCCAAAACGGCAGCTGCTGCATTAGACTTTATTTTAAAATGTTTTTATTTAAAAATTAAATGATCATATTTAGAAAAAAGCAAAACAATTCCTGAAGAGTAGTGCACAAGCTAACCAAACAGTGGCAGGAGCAATTGTGAACATCTGAAGTCAGGCTTTTTGGACTTTGACGGGAACAAGGGGTATATTTACATACTGTTAGATGAAGTTTCTTTCTAATTTAGCCCCTTTGTGTTGATTAATATACCTGCTTAATATTGCTTGCGTCCTGTTTACCACATTTTTTTAAACTTAAAAAAATTATATAGTACTGAATGATAACTATGAAATAAATTTAGCTTTAACTTCAAGACTTTTCCTTTTTAGAAATGAGTTGTATAATTGTAGTTCAGAAGTACTTGAAGTGTGTCTGTATATAAAAATCACAGAAAAATATTTTCCTATTAGAGTTTACTAAAACATTTAAAAATATTAGAGCCAATATATTCTTTAATGATGTGCTGTTGCACTCATGTACAACTGCTTCCAGAGGTACAAGCATTTGACAAAGATACTGCCAGCTCCTGTCAGGAAAAGGGAGTACTCATCACTTGGAGTTCATAGAACGTCACAAGATTCTCAGTATCAGAATTTAGAAAAACCTTGTGAACCCTCATCTGTCCCATGCTGCTCTTTTCTCTCACTTCACTTTTCAGCTTTTAGGAATGGATAAGCCTCAACTTTCTTCTTCAAAAAGCAATCTCAAGGTGGTAAATGGGAAGCTCTTTCCTTTCCCTATTTCGGTCTCATTTGCAGGGGAAGAACTATAAATATCAACTCTGAGTTGGCAGTTCCATAAACAAGAGATGCCAGGATGATGACAGTTGGATCTGGGTCCTGGCCTCCCTATTACAAATCGTGTGGTTTACTCTAACCGGGCTAAGCTGGGTGACCTTTAGCAAGTGATTTGCCTCTCTAAGCCTCAGTTTCCTCATCTGTATGATGAAGTTAATCATAGCGTGAAGCACATCCAGTGTCTGTGAAGATTACTTGGGATTATACCCGGGTAGCTTAGCACATAGTAATCACCTACTGCCATTCACTAGTAGTATTAACTACAGTAGCAGCAGTGGAGCTCTGTTTTCTCTTGGGAGGACCTAGAACCAACCCTCCCTCCCTTTTCTAATCATTGCATTTGGGAAGAATGTGAATTGATTATCTTCCTCTCTAATGCCCTTATAGAAGAAAAAATGAAAATTAAAAGTGAATCCAGGGCCCTGAACTAGCTAAAAATCTGTGTTTTTGTTTGTTTCCATTGGCAATTTTCAGATATAGCTTATAGACCGTTAGGCCTCAGTGGGTCCTTAGTAAAACTGAGGATTGCCAATAAATATTGTATCGCTTCCAGTGTCCCAGTAACAGCTCCTCCTCCACCCCCCAATTCCAGGAACATATCTAAGAGAGTCTAAGGTGAACTGAAAACTCTGCATCACTGTTACACCCTGGCAGTAAGGGACAGCATTTCTGCTAATTTAGAATTGGGCTAGGTCTCCCTCTTCACTAGCTTTGCATTGCAAAGTTGATCTCTCTAAGCTTTAGTATTCCTATAGAATAAGGAGAGTCAGCTCACCTTTACAATGTGTATTGTATGTATCAAAATGTAACAGATTTGGCATAGGGAATGCCCTTTCCCCACCCACTCTTTTCCTATTTTACTTCCAGGGAAATAGATTCTATTTCAGGTTATTTTGGGTCCTTAGACATTTGGAAAGGAATGACTTAGTAAAAACTGGGAAGAGTTCAAGGTAATATTTCAAAACAAGCTGGCTGGCAGTCTTCCTGTGGAGTTAGCTAGGCCTTGCAGTTCCAGTAGCTGCTTCCAACAATGGACATTTAGCTCCACACAGATTGTCTTTCAGGAGGAAGGGAATATTTTATTTTTTTAGTAAACCAGTAGGTATTTGTCTTAACGTATTAGATTAAGCAGGAAATATGGTGCACTTAGTTGAGGACCTGTTGGAGGATAGTTGTGTTTTCTGCACTCTTGTTTCCCTATAAGGATCACTTTTAGGATAGTGTGTGTTTCACAGTGATCCACAAGGTGTTCTTAAGATCTTTGAGAACCTCAAACCCTTGAAAAGCAGTAGGTCAGTAGGTGAAAAGTTTATTATGTTATAGTTGAAAATCATTCTCCAGGGTACAGTTGTATTTTTCAGAAACTTGTTGCTTCAGTAACAAGGAGCACATTCATTGGAAGAGCCATGTTAGGCAAGAGGCAATGTGATAAAAGCTGGAGGTCAGCCAGACCCAGGACTAAATCTTGGCTCAGCCACTTGCTTTCTTTACAATGTTGAGCAAAACACTTAGCTTTTCTAGGCTGCAGTTTGCTTCT